CGATCAGCAGCCTGGCAGCCTCCTTGTTAAGAGGATCTTCCGGGTTCGGAGCCTCGAACAGCATTCTTAAGCCAAACAGCACCGACTGGATATTCAGTACCGGCTTCCACTCCTCGCGCAGGATATTCAAGCAAATATGGCCCTCGGTATCGATGTTGGGGTGGAAGATGGTCTGCATGCAGTGGACTTTGGGCGGCTCGTGCGGGTAGTTGTGGCTCACGGCTACCTGGAACTTGAACTGGCCGTTCTTGTAGTAGCCTTCCTGTGGCCGGAACACGATGGAGAACTCCATGATGTTGCTGGGGCTGGCTATTATCTCCATGTCCTCGGAGGTTTCTAGTTCGCTCAGGTCCTTTTGTAGTCGAATTTTGGCCGGCGACTCTTTGGGCGGCTGCGCCTTTTGCGCCTCCACGTCGGTTTTCTTCTGGTTCCAAATCTTGCGCATAATGAATTACAATGAAGATGAAAAAGTGTGTGTCAATTTAAAAGAAATCCTTTTTTTTTTTTTGGTTCAAGACTTTATAAGCTCAGTTTAAAGCTGTGGCTCGGTTCGCAAAGAATATTGTAAACAAATATTCTTTGCTTTTCTTTTCTTCGTGCTTTCTTTTCTCAAGCGACTTCAAAAAAAAAGGATATACGCTCGCTAATGGCAGAGCCAAAGTATGGGAGTTTGGTGATAATATCGCGGTCAGGCGGAGACGGCAAAGCGTTCCCCATGCACAACAGCCGGGTGGTAATTGGAAGGCAAGTTAAACAAAGTTTCTTGTGTTACAAGGAATGCTAACATAGTAGAGTATAGAAAAGAGACCTGCGATATTCGAATGCAAAAGCCGCAAGTGTCGAAGATGCACTGTGTAATCCGAGCAGTAGGAAAGGACGTGGTGCTGCGCAATTACGGAGAAAACGGCACCAGCATAAACAACCAGGCAGTACCCCTGGGCAAACAACACATACTGAAACACAACGACGTAATAACCATCGTGGGCCGCTCCCTTCGATACGAAAGGCCCCCCTCTACTCCGCCGCAGCAGCAGCAAAGACTGGCCAGTCTAAATGGCCCGCAGAGCGAGATCATTAAGCGCACAATAGATAAGCCGCTGATCAGAAGACAGACGTTTGGCGGCAAACGGCCCAGCGTTATTGGGAGCCCTGAGACTGCCCGCAGGTTCCAGAAATGGAACGAACATTATAAGGATGATCCGTTTGCCCAGGGAACTTCCCAGAATGCGTTTCAGCAGATGGCACGGAGCGTACACAGCTTCGGCATAGAGCCTTCGAAAGCGCCTGATCTGCGTTGCCGGTCGAGAGCCTCTCCCTTGCAGAGAACCCGATCGGTGGGGGTGCCCCGGGAACATCTGCCCAGGCCCCTGGAGGACTCGGATAGCGAGGTACCTACGGAGCCCGAACCGGAATCCGACAGTGAGCCCAAGCCTGCCCTGCAGACCCCCATACGCTCGATGCTCAGGCAGGCGTCGGAGGCCCGCAAGTCCGTACGGTTCGGCCCGCAACTGTCACCGGAACTGTTCGATACGCAGGCGCCGCCCTCTACGCCGTTGCGTCGCGGCACGCCGATGCGGATGGCGAGGGGAGCCAGTATTCTCAGGCAATCCGCCGGAGTGCGTGTGGGTTTGCCGTTGCCGGTGGATGACATTTTTGACATGGAGGGCGCAGCCAACGACAGTGTGGTGAGTCTATCGTCATTGCCAGCACCTACGCCCCAGAAGCAGCCGGAGCAGCCGGAGCAAGCGGTGGATCCGCTGGAAGCCCTTTGCTTGGTGCCTGCTGATTCGCCCGTAGCGCAGCAGACCATAACGCCCAGCCGGCTGCTCCGAGCAGACAGCCCAGCGGATACTCGGCCGGAGAGCCCAGATACCCGGCCGGAGAATTCAGGGGAGCCGATTAGGGAGATCGAATCACCGCAGATGCTGGGCAGCCCGCAGGACCGTCGCAGCCGCCGCCGCCGCAGCCTACGCAACCTACCTCCCCAGATACTCGAGGAATCCCGCGCAAGCAGCCCATCCTCGCCCTCGTTGCTGGTGAGAACCCGCAAGGTGGACCACAACAGCCTGACGCCCTCCCGGCTGTTCCAGCAATCGCCCAGTAGAGAGCAGAGGAAACGGAGACGGCAGACCGCACCCTCCACGCTGTGGGCAGATACGATTGGCTCGTCGCTGGCCGAAATGGCCAAGGCGCTTGGAGAGGACGTGCCGCAGATGCCATTGGCCAAGGAGGACAAAGTGGCTGCTTCTGCAGAAGAGACTGTAGAGGAGCCTGTGGAGGAAGAGACTAGGGAGAGTGAGGCAGAAGAGCATGTGCCCATTCCCGATGGGCCCACCGTGGGGCTGGCTGAAGCCATGCAGCAGCAGCAGCAGCAGCAGCAGCAGCCAGAAACGCTGCAGTCGGCATCCGAGCAGCTGCTGCGAGAACAGGCCGCTCTGCAGGCCCGCCTAGGCACCGTATCGCTGGAAGACCTCAAGCCCACCAAGCAGAAGCAGCAGCAGCAGCAGCGACGTCGCACCACCAGCCTGGAGCACCTCCGCAACGCGCCCGCCAACGAGCCTGCCAACGAGCTTGATGACGTGGAGGAGGACGTGACGATGCACCGCGAGCGGCTACGCAGGCAGCAGGAGCGGCGGCGCCGGCGGCAGACGATCGCAGCGCTGAAGCAGCGCCGGTCGTCGTGGCGTGGGTGGACAGGCACGACGCTGCTTTCGTCACCACCGCAGTCACCCGACCTAGATCACATGCCCACGCCAAGTACAGCCGAAACGGCCGTAGAAGCGCCTTTCTTTTCTTCAATGTACCCGCCAACCATGAGTCCTTTTGAACGCAGCCAGCCGCCCCTGTCCGGCTCCGAACGCGTGCTGCCCTCGAGACGTAGGCTGTCGGAACACCTGTATCCTCCGCGGCCGCGGCCCATCGAGGCGGACTGGGAAATTGTTGATGACAAGCCCGAGGACGTGCAGCGGGTTCAGCTGCATGCGGTTCAATTGCAAGTTTCCGAGTCCTCTGTAGATCCCCCGGCTGCGCCCAAGGAGGTCCAAAGCGCAGTGCAGAGAGAGAGCAACGTGCCGAGAGAGAGCAACGTGCCGAGAGAACTAAAAGCCCTAGAGCAGGTTGTTTGTGAAGAGGCCAAGGTTGTGGGAGGCCATGTGCTGCGCAGGCCAAGAGCAGCAAAGCCTGGGACAGAGCAGCCTAAGCCTGAGACAGAGAAGCCTAGCAGCGAGAAGAGGCCTGGCAGCGAAAAGCGGCCCAGAGGAAGGCCCAGGAAGGCGGCCGCAAAGCCCAGCACAGAGAAGCAACCCAGCAATGCGAAGCGCACCGCACAGGCTGCAAGCAGTAATAGGAAACGCAAGCCCAAAGTCTCTGATAATATATCGGATGTTGCTGCCAAGCGTGGTAAGAGCAATAATCCTGCATCCCCTCCCCTCACTCGCTCGTCAAAACGGACAAAAATATAGATTATGCACAATTATTTATATTTTAAAGGCGGATCTGTTATTTTTTCAACGCAATATAGTGATCTTCTCTCATACTATTTGCCGTTTTTTGGGCTGAGTTTATGAGATGAATCAACTCTCTTTAGTTTGCATGTAAATCCTAATTTTAAAAACCCCCCACACCCTTTTTTATTTGCACCTTTCGGAATTTGCCTTTTTTCGTAAATCCCAAGAAAATCGCTTAAATACAATGGATTATTCCATTTACCTCTGAAAAATCATCTTTCTCTCTTAGCATTATTAAAATGACAATATCATTTACATACATTAAAGAATCATATTTGTTCAACAAACGAACGTTTGTTTATCCAGGGTTAATTGAAACCAGCTCACAAGCCGAAGACCTCACGCCTATATGGACCATCAAAGTACATGAACGCGAAGCCTCCATTTGCCAGGGCCGCTCCGGCGCCTCCGTCATGACCTCCATTATCGAGGGCGCCAACAAAGACCTCGTGCAGTTCAAATACAACAACAAGCTAACCAACGGCGGCTTTGATGGCACCAAGTCCACCTGGGCTTTCATTGATTTCGATGGCCAGAGATTTGATTGGATTGCTGGCATGATGCAGGACTGCTGGAAACTGGAGGACTCCAAGGGCACGCTGGTTGCTCAGTTCATGGGGCTTTCGAGAGACTATAAGATTCGGGGCTCGCTGGTGCTGCATGCCAAAGTTTCCGAATCTCAGATCGCCCTCATTCATCTTTCTACTAAAATGCTCAAATACTCCACCTGAATCAATTCATCTGCATTTAAATAAATTATTGAGGTCCCTCCCTGTCTCTTGCATAAAACGGCAGAATTGTTAATGCAAATTATAATTCTCGGCACTAAGTCCTACAGTATTTTTTACTAGCTTAGGCTTCGGCACTTTGGGAGGCTTTAATCGCTCTCCCAAGAGCCCAGCAAAACACCCAAGTCATATGCATTACGGCGTCTTTTCTTTATTTTCTTTGAACCTGGATTGTTGAGCGGGGGAGCTTGCCCTTTACTTGTGCATCAAAAAATACAGATACCTTGATTCCAATTATTCAATGCGCGCCTAAAAATGGGCGCTATTTAAGGAAAATTTTCTACCAAAATTTTCCTACATCTGCAGCTCTATTCTTCTACACACAAAAAATGTCAGATAAACCTTCTCTCAAAGGCACCCCACTACTTCAGCCACCAATGCTGCTGTCAATGGGACCAATTCCCGCTAAATTGTCTGATGCTAGTTTATTCTTTAGTAAATGTTGTATTTGGCCCTTTTCTAGTAGACTATAGTTTTTCATGATTACCAAATAAATATCTGTGCACATTGTTTTTAGTTAATGGAATTTCTATAGCAATAAGGCATTCCTTTGTGCCCCCATGCTTGCTTTCGACAGGCTTTGCGCTATCCAAATATTGCGGCTTATAAGTTGCTATTAAGCATTTTCTGCTGAGGGGAGGATTTTGTTAGATGAAGAATTATGGATCTTGATTAAGCAGATCTATGGTTGATCTGGCGTTCTAATGCTGGTGTGGCTTAATGGAAAAGCGTCTGCCTCCTAAGCAGAAGATTGCGAGTTCGATCCTCGCCATCAGCTTTTTTCATTTTTTTTCTATTACGGAATCTAGATCTTTATTACTGCATTTCTTTTTCTACAGCACGTTGTGTAACATAAACAATGAGCACTGAGTGGCAATAAATCCCCTTTATTCTTTCCTATTTCTCTTTTTGGCCTTTAGATTACCAGAGGATGGAACGTGGAAATGCTTATGAGACCCGGGATGTGGATATCACGTCAATGAGCCATCCAAGCCATCCGTATGCAGGATCGTACAGCGAAGCAGCCGGGTTTGGCACGGAAACCGGCCGAGTGCCATCGCGTACCGAGTACATAACAAAAACCACCAAAGTGGAGCCGCTCTACGAGACATCCAAGGGCAGCGGCAGCTCGCACAATGTGATAGGAATGAAATCCATGGACAAATGGAACGCAACCAGGTTCCTCACCTACGTGTTTACTCGGCTAGCACAGCTGGTCGTGGCCCTGGTATGCATTGGGTTCCAAGCAGACTCACGGAACAAGCGTCCAGCCGACAGCAATGTGGGATTCACCCAGAACAACGTGGAAATAGCCATATACGTCATCGGGGGCATAACAGCGGGCACGGCGCTGATTTCGCTTATTCTCCATATGTTCCGCAAGACCCGAGAGCGCATAGAAATGTCGAGGCTGGCATGGTTCACGATGTTTTTCAACTTTGCGGTTTTTGTCGTTTGGGTGGTGCTGGTGCTGATTAACGTGGTGGCTGTGGACTGTTCGCGTAAGCTGGATGGCTCGTGGTGCCGTAGCTCCAAGGCCAGTTTGGCTACCGGCCTGATATCGGCGTTGTTCTCGTTGGTGGTTACTTTGCGTAGTTTAAGTGTGCTTATTCGTACCAGCAGGATTCGTGTCTAGATTTTGTTTGAATTCCCCCAAAAAATAACAGTAAAAGATATTACTACCTTGCTCCAAAAAAAAACCAGATGATGTAGCCACAATTTATAACCTCGCATCATTTTACTTGATAACTAAAAAATTATAGGTTATATAGCCATTTACAAATATTTTGGTTTCTATCATTATGACGCAGCTTAAATTAGAGTGCTCCAATTGCTTGACCGCCGGCAACGAGACAGAGCCTGAATGGTCCGGCCCGCATTGTTTGGAAACTGATTCTCAGCTGCAGTTTGTGTACGGCAACGACGGCCTGCAGCAATGCTCTATAAAGCAAGGAACCCCGTTCCACCGCCTTTTATCAGCTACTTTGCCAATATGCTGCCGCCTATCAACTGAAGCCGAAACCATGTCGGAATTCCCGCTGTATGCTTCTACCAAAGGAAACTACAATATGGTACTCCATGGGCACAAGAGTCGAGTGGTTGGTGCCGCCATCTATGCGGTAGGCCGGCCATTGCCCAACAGCGTACCGGGCGTCACCACAATGCAGTTCAACACCAAATGGTACGAAGGAACAGGGCTATCCACACTGATGGCCAACAAGCGGCATCAAGAGGAATTCATCATCTCGCCTATCGTTGCCATCATGTTCTGTATCCTATCTGCATGTGTTGTTTATGTTATTGGCAGGGTGTATGTTGAAAGCTATCTTATTCCTCAGCTGCTTAAACAGCAAGGTACAAAGAAAACTGATTAAATGTTTTTATCTGGACAGTTTGCTGAATGACTTGCTACCTCTTCAAGTGTATAAAATACATTCAAACAATCTTGGCATAACCATCCGCCAGTTGACTTTAAGCAATAATTCCATGCGGTTTTAATAAATATCATTTCAAGTTGCCTAGAGATCTTTGTTAATTCTGAAAAAGAGAATAAAGTGAGTGAAAAGAGAGTAAGGAATAAAGGTGCTCAGAGGATATGCGTTTGATATTTAACCATAAAGCCAAACTAAAAAAACATCCGAAGCAAGCTCCAGTCATGCAACTCTTCCCTTTTTTTTGTTCCTCATACTCGTAAATATGCTTCATGTGTGTTTATCTTTTAAAAGGAGTTAGTGCTTTACTTTGTTTCATTAAACATAAAGAATGGGGGGAAGCTTGCTTGTTTATTCTAGCATATATTGCTTTTTTATGTATGCCACATTTACCTACCCTCTTTCACGTAAAAAAATTAAAAGAGCAAAGTGACGTTTATAATTAAACATGCTAGAATTACTCATAGCTTATATATACCGTTAGCCATGACATATCCGCAACGTCATAAATAAGCCCAAGACAAAAAGACAATCTTACGATAGAAAAATAAACTACTTCAGTTTCAGCATCACTCATTCTAGAGTTACGTCACTCAATTCTACAGCGTCACCTTATCCTAAAAGGTAATTATTTTATTTCCCAACAATCGAGAAAGAGTTTATACGTACTGTATGTCAGCTGAGTTCGGAAAATAAAGCTCACATGAACATTAAAACAATTAGCGGAAGCAACGATGGATATAGTATAGTTGCAGAACCGGTGGTGTCACCATGCATAGCCTCGAGTTGTGGGTTGTCGACGTACTTGGTGATTGTTTCTACAACTATCTGTGTCTCTGTCACCACTGCTCCGCTGATCAAGCTCGCTAGTAGCAGCAAATAAATATAGTACTTCATGATTGAATAATTATTCGAGAAAGAGAAAAGGAAATGTTTATTTCTACAATTGACTTTCCCATCGCTTTTACATTCTTTATGACTCTTGGCAGTAGACTTGTTCTTTGTGTGTCTGGCTGATAAAGCCTTTTTTTAAGAACTAATGAAAAGTAGTCTTTCTAATACATAGCAGCCCAGCTTCGTTTGTAATTATGTTCAAAGTACCCACCAAAAGGGCAATAAAGCCTAAGTAATAAAATGCAAAAGAAACAGAGTCTTTAAAAAGAGATATGCGTGTGATTCGGATTAAAAGTTGGGTTTGCTAATAGCTGCCAGCAACCGAGCGGCATATACCGCCACTGGTGCAGTATGCTGGGCAGCAATAAACATAATACGGTCTATTACCTCGTCGCTACATCTCCATACGCGTGCCTGGTCATACTCGCCCTGTGAACCCGACCGCCGATCAGCCCACTTTTGCAGCTGCTCTACTACTCCTACCCCCTGCAATACCAGACGCAATACCGATTGTTGTTTATCGCCAGATATAGGCAATATCAGGTCAAGCACTTTACTCTTGTCATCTTCTTCATCTTTATCAGTGGTATGTGCTGCTGCTGGCGGTTTGGATGTAGCTTCCTGAGTGTAAAATGGTCCATGAATAAGAATATGACGCTTAAGCCAGGGCACGATATCTGCAGTGCCACTGACTCGGCTACAATTGCTCCAGCGACAGGCATCAGCATCGGCTATATGTGCCTGCAAATGCTCAGTCGCCTGCTCTTCGCTGGTAAACAGTTCCTGGCACCCGGTCCATCTACACTGGCTAGCAGAATCACCACCACCAGCTGCTGCTGTCGTTGCCTTGGTCTCGGTAGATGCAGGTAGCTCGGGAATAGGAACAATATGCGGCGTCTTTTGCCGCAAATGCAAGGCAATCACTGACGAGGCCGCCTTTTGGATATTTGTACGCGGAAATACCGCAGCTACTACTCGAACAATCTCATTAAGCGTCAGTGCACGGCCAATTCGTGGTGCGGTTTGTCCTTGTTTAGCAATCGTATATCTGCTAAACAGTTCATTAATCGATACGTATAGAGGTCGCTGCTGCTGCTGCTGCTGCTGCTGAACAAATTCATAATTTAGCAGTACCCAAGTACACGCTTCTCGTAGCTCTAGTTCAGTTGGTGGTTGGTGAGGAGGTTTTGCTGGTTGCTGAACTGCAGTAGCTTCACCTACCGGTAATATAGCTGCCATCCACTGCTGCAATACCAAAGCAACTAATGACACCAACCCACTAGGCAGCATTGACGGTGCTGACTCTTCCACTATCTCTTGCGACGGAGTACGCAGCATGCCAAATACAGGCGTTTGCGCTCCTGAGTCTTCTGACGTAGTAGCTATTTGTCCTCGTTCATGATCAAGCGCTTTAGCCAAAGCCTCAATTCGTACCATATTTAGCAGCAGCTCTAACGCAGCGCTAACTATGTCGATGTCAGAACTAAGCACTAGCTCAGCCAATCGAGAGTTTAGCATACTGCCCACAATCTCATTAGTTTGACGAGGTACGGGCAGTTGCAATATATCGCGAGCTAGCTGCGGATGCCAGGAAATAAGTTGTACCAAAACCCGCAATGCGCCTAAAACTAGCGTACGTTCTGATGAGCTACTAACTAGTTTAACCAGTTCCGCCCATAGCTGTGCTTCTACCAGCACCAGCAAATCCCTATGCATTTGTGGCCAGTCTTTTATCCGGACTTCTAATGGCGGCACTGGCGCTAATGGTACCAAAACATCCAGCACGTCCAACAGCTCAGCCCGCATCCGTACCTGTCCATCATACCGCAGCCACTGAGTTATTTCTAGAATCACTCGTGGATCTTGCGCCATCTCCTGCGCATTATCTCCGATCTGGGCAATATTAAACAGAATAGTCGCTAGCAACTCGCCCCGTTCCTGAGCTCGTACTTTTAGCATAGCGGATCCCGAATCGCTCATTAGGGCTTTACGGATATCTGACATGGGCGGCCGTCGGCTGATCTCCTTGCGAGTGCGCTCCAATGCTCCTACAATAGCTTCCAGCAAAAATGGCGCATGCTGCATGATACTCCAGCCCTCGGGGGCATGCTGAGTAGCGGTAGCCAGCCGAGCGCATGCCCAGTCAATTTCATTGTCCAGGTTGGACTTTAATGCCAGTGCAAAGCGGTTAAATGGACCACCGCCCAGAAAGCTCATATAGTCTTCAGGAATAAACGCTTCAGCCTTTACAGCTGGAATTGCGGTTGCAGTTGTAGCTGTGGTTGCTGGAATTCGAGTCATTGCTGTACGCTGAGGCGTGTCGTTTAACGATGCCAAACGTTGTCTAGACGGTGCTTGCATGCCATTCATGGCTCAAAAATGAATAAAGAGAAAGCAAGAGCTTGAAAAAGAGTAAACACAATCAAATTTAATGCAGTTAATCGGATCAAAA